CACAGTACACTACTATACACCACTATACTATTAACTACACATTACACTACACAGTACACTACTATACACCACTATACTATTAACTACACATTACACTACACAGTACACTACTATACACCACTATACTATTAACTACACATTACACTACACAGTACACATTGCCACTCGGCAGGCGGCTGGTGTGGTTGGTGTGGTGTGGTTGGTGTGGTTGGTGTGGTGTGGTTGGTGTGGTGGGTGTGGGTGGTGTGGTGGGTGTGGTGTGTGTGGTGTATGTGGTTGGTGTGGTGTGGTAGGTGTGGTGTGGTAGGTGTGGTGTGGTAGGTGTGGTGTGGTAGGTGTGGTGTGGTTGGTGTGGTGTGGTTGGTGTGGTGTGGTTGGTGTGGTGTGGTTGGTGTGGTGGGTGTGGTAGGTGTGGTGTGGTAGGTGTGGTGTGGGTGGTGTGGTTGGTGGTGTGGTGTATGTGGTTGGTGTGGTGTGCCCGTTGCCTGGCCTTTGTCACGTGCAAGTGTGGGCTACCTGGGGGAGATTTGTTTACACGCATGTGTGTGTGTGTGTGTCTGTGCGTCTGTGTGTCTGTGCGTGTCTGTGCGTTTGCGTCTGTCTGTGTGCGTCTGTGCGTCTGTGTGTCTGTGTCTGTGTGGTGTCGTCAGGAACTGGCCATGTACGAGAAGCTCGGTGATGAAGTTCACATCACGGAGCAAGGTGCGGTGAGCCTCGGTGGACGTGTGCCCGTCGTGCGTGCGATGATGATTGTCTGTGCGAACTTCTTTAGCACCGTACGAGGTCAGTCGCGTTAATCTGGGGTGCGGGGTGGGGGGGGGAACGACAGGCTACACAACAACAACAAGCTACACAACAACAGCAACGACAACAAGCGGTTGTAAATAAATGAGTTTGTCAATCTAAACGCCGATTTGAAAGTGGCATCATAGCTAGCTGTAGGTGGCTTCCTGACATCAGAAGAGACCCACAGGTTAACATAGAGACCCACAGAGAGATACAGGAGTCGGGGATTAATAGAGACCCGCAGAGACCCACAGAGACATACAGGAGTCGGGGATTAATAGAGACCCACAGAGACCCACAGAGAGATACAGGAGTCGGGGATTAATAGAGACCCACAGAGACCCGCAGAGACCCGCAGAGAGATACAGGAGTCGGGGATTAATAGAGACCCACAGAGACCCACAGAGACCCACAGAGACATACAGGAGTCGGGGATTAATAGAGACCCACAGAGACCCACAGAGACCCACAGAGACCCACAGAGACCCACAGAGACCCACAGAGACCCACAGAGACCCACAGAGACCCACAGAGAGATACAGGAGTCGGAGATTAATAGAGACCCACAGAGACCCACAGAGACCCACAGAGAGATACAGGAGTCGGGGATTAATAGAGACCCACAGAGACCCGCAGAGACCCACAGAGATACAGGAGTCGGGGATTAATAGAGACCCACAGAGACCCACAGAGACCCACAGAGACCCACAGAGAGATACAGGAGTCGGGGATTAATAGAGACCCACAGAGACCCGCAGAGACCCACAGAGAGATACAGGAGTCGGGGATTAGCAGAGACCCACAGAGACCCACAGAGACCCACAGAGACCCGCAGAGACCCGCAGAGACCCACAGAGAGATACAGGAGTCGGGGATTAATAGAGACCCACAGAGACCCACAGCGACCCACAGAGACCCACAGAGAGATACAGGAGTCGGAGATTAATAGAGACCCACAGAGACCCACAGAGAGATACAGGAGTCGGAGATTAATAGAGACCCACAGAGACCCACAGAGACCCACAGAGACCCACAGAGACCCACAGAGACCCACAGAGACCCACAGAGACCCACAGAGAGATACAGGAGTCGGGGATTAATAGAGACCCACAGAGACCCACAGAGACATACAGGAGTCGGGGATTAATAGAGACCCACAGAGACCCGCAGAGAGATACAGGAGTCGGGGATTAATAGAGACCCACAGAGACCCACAGAGAGATACAGGAGTCGGGGATTAATAGAGACCCACAGAGACCCACAGAGACCCACAGAGAGATACAGGAGTCGGGGATTAATAGAGACCCACAGAGACCCGCAGAGACCCACAGAGACATACAGGAGTCGGGGATTAATAGAGACCCACAGAGACCCGCAGAGACCCACAGAGAGATACAGGAGTCGGGGATTAATAGAGACCCACAGAGACCCACAGAGAGATACAGGAGTCGGGGATTAATAGAGACCCGCAGAGACCCACAGAGAGATACAGGAGTCGGGGATTAATAGAGACCCACAGAGACCCACAGAGACCCACAGAGACCCACAGAGACCCACAGAGACCCACAGAGACCCACAGAGACCCACAGAGACCCACAGAGACCCACAGAGACCCACAGAGACCCACAGAGACCCACAGAGACCCACAGAGACCCCAGTGATCCACAGAGACCCACAGAGACCCACAGAGACCCACAGAGACCCACAGAGACCCACAGAGACCCACAGAGACCCACAGAGACCCACAGAGACCCACAGAGACCCACAGAGACCCACAGAGACCCACAGAGACATACAGGAGTCGGGGATTAATAGAGACCCGCAGAGACCCGCAGAGACCCGCAGAGACCCGCAGAGACCCGCAGAGACCCGCAGAGACCCGCAGAGACCCGCAGAGACCCGCAGAGACCCGCAGAGACCCGCAGAGACCCGCAGAGACCCGCAGAGACCCGCAGAGACCCGCAGAGACCCGCAGAGACCCGCAGAGACCCGCAGAGACCCGCAGAGACCCGCAGAGACCCGCAGAGACCCGCAGAGACCCGCAGAGACCCGCAGAGACCCGCAGAGACCCGCAGAGACCCACAGTTTTCTCTGCGTAATGACCGAGGCGCCAGACCACCTGGCGCCGCAGGGGCGCAGGTGCGAACGGACCGGTCGGGGAGTCGACCGAGGCCTCCTTCTGTGGTGCCATGAGGCCTACCAACGACGGCGGAGATTGCCGGCGGCTTCAAATCCATCGGGAGGGGAGATTCAAAGGGTGAAAGGTCGGGCCGGGCGAGGGTTTGAGCGCAAGGGAGGCCGACGGTTGACAACCAAAGAAGTAAAGCTTTCGTGACTGCATAAATTACTCATTGTTTATTTTCCGGTACAGTCACGTGTGTAGAAATACCGTAAGTGTCTAGCTGTGTTGTTGGCCTGACTTGGTTGTGCATCACGGAATTTTTTCTTAGGTTTGTTGAATTCTCGTCCTCTCGTCTTCTTGTTTGTATTTACCTCCGAGATTTATTTTTGTTAACACACCCGATGAAGATCGCCTGTGTTGCGAGTCGATTGATTTGTCTTCATATAATTTTATGGCATTTCCACACACGTGACTTTGCCGAAAAAACCAGTGAGTAGGTTGACGACCACTTTCGCCCGCATCCAGGTTTCATATTTTCGGCGTTGGATCGCAGGAATGTATAAAATGCTGCGCCGTTTCAACCCGCCGCCGCCGCTGCCGCCGCCCGACACGGCCAATTGGCGAGGGGCTTTGTCACGTCGGCAGAACGTGGCCGAGCCGTCGCTGGTGTCAGTGACCAACTCGGAGGCACTGCGGGTTGGAGGCGTCTCGATAGTCCGGCTCGCAGTCGGGACTGCTGGCACGGACTGCCCGACTGCCGACGCCGGGACGGTGATTGCGGCGGCGGCGGCGGCGGCGGCGGTGACCCCAGCGGCAGGGCGAGGGGACGCCACTCCAGGCGACAGCCCCGAGCTCCCGCTCACTCCGGCCGTCTGTCGTCGTCGTTGTTGTCGCCTCAAAACCTGTAGCGAAATTTTAACCCACTTCCCGACTGGACTGGAAACTTGGTTATGCTTGTGTCACACTGATGACAATGCTGTAGGCCAGGGCTCTGGGTTAGTTCTTCGTGCTTTCGGAGTCCCCGACCCTCTGCTCACGATCATGAAGGACCTTCATGATGAAATGTGAGCGGGCCCGGGTAAAACTACGTGGCCGGGAGTCCGAGCCATTCCCCTGTACACCTCGGGGTGCGACAGGGATGTCCTCTGCCTCCCACATTATTTAACGTCTATTTTGACCACGTAGTTCGTGAAGCCTTCAATAGCTGTACCGGGGTGGATCTCCATATGGTACAGATATAAAAAAATATCTATATTTTTTTTAAACAATCTTTTTTTTTACACGTCATGTTTCGGCTTGGGTCTAATTGCCCACGGTCAACTGACGTTGGCTGTGAATCACCACGGGCCCCTTGCGTTGTGACCAAGCGTCGGGGCGCCACTTCCTGGGGTCGTGGAGTTCTGCCATTACTCGTACGGTACACCCCATGAGAGCGTGTTTTTAACAAAGTTTTTTTGTTAAATATAACTTTTACCATGCCACTCTCTGCTCGAGCACGTGACCTACCGTAATAAATAGGGTTTTTTTTTATCCCCCTTTTTTCTGGCAACAGAACTGAAACCTTTTTTTGTTGACAAGGATTCACGTCACTGCATTAACCACAATACCTGCAGTCAAAATGCAAACAAAAAAATAAGACTATGATAATATATGCGGCGTTGTCCTTGAATCTGATTGGTCCACACCAGAGACGGCTTTCTTTTGAGCCTCGACCCCAATTGGTGTTAGACCAGATGACCCCAAAAGGCGTCGCACAGCTCAAAGACAACGCCACTATCAGAGTAATGAGGGCCTCGGGGTGAACATCTACATCATTAGACCTTTGCCACTACCAAACAACAATAATAATAATAATTAGAGGGTTTTCCCCTTTTTTCTGGCAACAAAACTGAAACCTTTTTTTTACAAGGAATCACGTGGTGCATTACCCACAATGCACCTGTGGTCAAAGTACAAAACAACAAAAAAACGCTCTCTGACGACACAGCGAAACCTCAAGATTGCGGGCGACTTGGCCTGCGAGCGTTTTGCAAGGCGAGCCAAAATTTTTTATTTTCGATTAAGTGAACACTAATTTGGCAAGCGAGCCGGGAGGCTTGCTGGCGCGTGCGGCGGTACGTGCCCGCACGCTGTTGTACCGCCGAGCGTCACTTGATCACAGATGCACGGGCGCTCTGGATTACGGAACGCGTAGCCGGAGCGAATCCCCGCTGCGCGATTCCCAAGGCGTGTGATGTGCGTGACCTTCGGCCGGAAGCGACCAAAGAATCTGGCTGCTGCAAGCTGCAAGCTGAAGTTTCACCCCCTCTACCCCCCCCCTTCTCTGCCAGTAAACCAGCGCTGGGCTCGCGTAGCGACGCTTCCCGCGTCACCCTTCGCGCTAGCCGCCGGCGCCGGCCGGCGGTCCAAGCGACAACATTTTCACTCCGGTGTTGGCCGGCGGCACTTGCCCCCGCTTTGCGGGCTGTTTTCGAGGCTACGCGGGGGGGGGGGGGGGGGGGGGGGGGGGCCTTTGTCTTGGTGCCGGGCGGCGGGTTGGCGCCACGCAGCCGGCGGGCCGAGTTGGGCTCCCGCTCGCGGCCGACGCCGTCGGCGGCGACGATCTGAAGCGGTCCTGGGCCCCATGCCCTTAGGTCGGCTCGGCCTCAGATGAGTAACCTGCTTGCGGTGGTGCAGTGAACGTCGCCACTGGGGGAGAGACGAAGGCCGTCGGGCGTGGAGGTGGTGGTAGTGGTGGTGGCGGTGGTGGCGGTGGTGGTGGTGGTGGTGCTGGCCAGCCACCCCCTCTGCGTGTGTAGCCACAGCTGCTGGTAGCCTTCGTAGGCGCTGCTGCTGCTGCTGCTGCTGAGAGTCTGCTGAAAGTCTGTTGAGGCTACACGGGGGACCTTTGTCTGTGCGTGACGCAGAGCTGCGTGACGATGGCTTTGGAGGCCACGCGTTCTACCAGTGCCTGGTGGCCGAGGCCGTCGCTCCGGACGGCCCCGCCAACGGTGAGGCACGCACGCACGCACACACGTACACACACACGTACACACACGCACGCACACGTACACACACACACACGCACACGTACACACACACGTACATACACACACACACACGCACGCACACGTACATACACACACACACGCACGCACACGTACATACACACACACACACACGCACACGCACATGTACACACACATGCACATACACACGCACACGCACACACGCACACGTACACACACACGTACATACACACACACACACGCACGCACACGTACATACACACACACACACACGCACACGCACATGTACACACACATGCACATACACACACACACGCACACACGCACACGTACACACACACGTACACACACGTGCACACGTACACGCACACGTACACACACGTACACACACGCACACACGCACGTACATACACACACACACGCACACGTACACACACACGCACGCACACGTACACACACATACACACACACGCACGCACACGTACACACACGTACACACACACACGCACACACGCACACACGCACACGTACACACACACGTACATACACACGTACACACACACACGCACACACGCACGCACACGTACATACACACACACGCACACGTACATACACACACACGCACACGTACATACACACACACATACATACACACACGCACGTACATACACACACACACACAAAGACAGCGATGTTTACTACACCCCGCTACACCAGGTACGGTGCTCGCTTGTGGTCGAGGTGATGGTGGTGGTGGTGACGGTGGTGGTGGTGGTGGTGTCGGTGGTGGTGGTGGTGACTGTGGTGGTGACTGTGGTGGTGACTGTGGTGGTGACTGTGGTGGTGACTGTGGTGGTGACTGTAGTGGTGACTGTGGTGGTGGTGGTGAGTGTGGTGGTGGTGGTGACTGTGGTGGTGACTGTGGTGGTGACTGTGGTGGTGACTGTGGTGGTGACTGTGGTGGTGACTGCGGTGGCGGTGACTGCGCTGGTGGTGACTGTGGTGACTGTGGTGGTGGCGGCGATGACGGTGGTGGTGGTGACGGTGGTGGTGGTGACGGTGGTGGTGGTGACGGTGGTGGTGGTGACGGTGGTGGTGGTGACGGTGGTGGTGGTGATGGTGGTGGTGATGATGGTGGTGACTGCGGTGACGATGCCCCCCCCCTCCCGGCCCCGTGCTGTCTCCGTGCCCCCCAGGCCCCGTGAGAGTCGTCGGCTTTGCGATGTTTTACTTCACCTACGACCCTTGGAGCGGCAGGAACATCTGCCTGGAGGACTTCTTCGTGATGAAGGAATACCGAGGTCGGACCACGCACGCAGAGCCCCAATATCAACTCATCCTCGTTACTGTAGCGGGCCACGAGGCCCGCATCCCACTGATTGGGCTACGCGGCTCTCTGAATTGTTTAAATCTCGATTTGAAGCTTTTGCAACCGGAGGATTCGATCCGCTGTGGTTCTTTCGGTGAAGTCCACGCAGTAGCGGGTAGGAAAACTTGCGGAAGGAAGTTCTGCTACCGACTACTGCGTCCGTCGCCAGGCGAGAAGGGAATGGCTCCGCTGTTGTGGCTTCACGCAGAGGCAGGCACGAGCGTCCGTCGTCGTGACGAGTCCGTGGTGATCGTGACGAGTCCGTGGTGATGGTGACGAGTCCGTGGTTGTCGTGACAAGTCCGTGGTGATGGTGACGAGTCCGTGGTTGTCGTGACGAGTCCGTGATGATCGTGACGAGTCCGCGGTGATCGTGACGAGTCCGTGGCCGTCGTGACGAGTCCGTGGTGATCGTGACGAGTCCGCGGTGATCGTGACGAGTCCGTGGTTGTCGTGACGAGTCCGTGGTGATCGTGACGAGTCCGTGGTGATCGTGACGAGTCCGTGGTGATCGTGACGAGTCCGCGGTGATCTTGACGAGTCCGTGGTCGTCGTGACGAGTCCATGATCAGGTGACGAGTCCGTCATCAGGTGACGAGTCCGCGGTCGTCGTGAGGAGTCCGTCGTCGTGACGAGTCCGTGATGAGACACTCGACGTGGAAACCGGCTCCTTGCCTATACACATCTGGACTGCTGATGAGACACTCGACGTGGAAACCGGCTCCTTTCCTGTAAACATCTGGGCAGTTTCGCCAGCGTTGGCTCAAGCAGAGCCTGGCTCTGCTGCTGCTGCTGCTGCTGAGACACTGAATGTGGAAATCGGCTCCTTGCCTCCTGAACAAGTTCCTACAGTACTGGTTCAAGGAAAACAGCCGATGAGATGGAGTCTGAGAAGGAAGGGGCGTGGAAAAGAATGAGATGTACATTTTTATTTTTTAAATATGCTGCTGTGTCTACGGTGTGATGTCGCGTCTGCGTTGTGATGATGATGATGATGTTGTTGTTGTGCCGCCCTCCGCTAGGTCTGGGAATCGGATCTGAGATCCTGAAACGGGTCAGCCAGGTGAGTGAAGGTGTACTCTGTAAACTAAAATCAGTTTAGTAACACAAAAACTTCTTTAAAGAAGTGTTTGTTTAACCAGGCAAGGCCCACTGAGCTGTACAGGGACTCCTCCACTTACAAACGAGTTCAGTTCCAGAGGTCTGTTCCTTAGTCTGTTTGTTCGCAAGTCCAACTTCACTGTTTTCGATTGCGAATACGTTGCACGGCGTGTACACGACACACGGGGAATGGCTTTAAAAGTTGTATCATCTCCTGTAGATGTAGATGCCACTGGTTCTTCACGTTCTGTAGATGTAGATGCCACTGGTTCTTCACGTTCTGTAGATGTAGATGCCACTGGTTCTTCACGTTCTGCAGATGTAGATGCCACTGGTTCTTCACGTTCTGTAGATGTAGATGCCACTGGTTCTTCACGTTCTGTAGATGTAGATGCCACTGGTTCTTCACGTTCTGCAGATGTAGATGCCACTGGTTCTTCACGTTCTGTAGATGTAGATGCCACTGGTTCTTCACGTTCTGCAGATGTAGATGCCACTGGTTCTTCACGTTCTGTAGATGTAGATGCCACTGGTTCTTCACGTTCTGCAGATGTAGATGCCACTGGTTCTTCATGTTCTGTAGATGTAGATGCCACTCGTTCTTCACGTTCTGTAGATGTAGATGCCACTGGTTCTTCACGTTCTGTAGATGTAGATGCCACTGGTTCTTCACGTTCTGCAGATGTAGATGCCACTGGTTCTTCATGTTCTGTAGATGTAGATGCCACTGGTTCTTCACGTTCTGTAGATGTAGATGCCACTGGTTCTTCACGTTCTACAGATATAGATGCCACTGGTTCTTCACGTTCTGTAGATATAGATGCCACTGGTTCTTCACGTTCTGCAGATGTAGATGCCGCCGGTTTTTCACGTTCTGCAGATGTAGATGCCGCCGGTTCTTCCTCTTCTACAGATGTAGATGCCACTGGTTCTTCACGTTCTGTAGATGTAGATGCCACTGGTTCTTCACGTTCCGTAGATGTAGATGCCACTGGTTCTTCATGTTCCGTAGATGTAGATGCCACTGGTTCTTCACGTTCTACAGATGTAGATGCCACTGGTTCTTCATGTTCTGCAGATGTAGATGCCACTGGTTATTCACGTTCTACAGATGTAGATGCCACTGGTTCTTCACGTTCTGTAGATGTAGATGCCACTGGTTCTTCACGTTCCGTAGATGTAGATGTCACTGGTTCTTCACATTTTGTAGATGCCACTAGTTCTTCACGTTCTGCAGATGTAGATGTCACTGGTTCTTCACGTTCTGCAGATGTAGATGCCACCGGTTCTTCCTCTTCTACAGATGTAGATGCCACTGGTTCTTCACGTTCTGCAGATATAGATGCCACTGGTTCTTCACGTTCTGCAGATGTAGATGCCGCCGGTTCTTCACGTTCTGCAGCTGTAGATGCCGCTGGTTCTTCACGTTCTACAGATGTAGATGCCACTGGTTCTTCACGTTCTACAGATGTAGATGCCACTGGTTCTTCATGTTCTGTAGATGTAGATGCCACTAGTTATTTAAGTTCTGTAGATGTAGATGCCACTGGTTCTTCAGGTTCTGTAGATGTAGATGCCACTGGTTCTTCAGGTTCTGTAGATGTAGATGCCACTGGTTCTTCACGTTCTGCAGATGCCACTGGTTCTTCACGTTCTGCAGATGCCACTGGTTCTTCACGTTCTGGGGATGTAGATGCCACTTCTGCAGATGTAGATGCCACCACCGCCATCTATTGCACGGCGGTTGAACTGACGACTCCGGATCCGAACAGGCGACTGGACATACGGACGGGTTTGTTCGGATCTCTGAAAGTTAATCAATCGAATATTCATAAGTGAACGGGTTCCCTGTACAGCTCTTTATTGGGAAACTGCTTAGCTACCACAAACGAATTGGTGGCTCATCATTATAGCCGTCGTCATCATCGCGGGGAAATGTACTGCAGCTAGATGCTCCCAAATGCGTGACCAGGAGGGGAAAAACCGGAGGGACCCCAGAAGTCAAAAAAAATCCACGGGGAGAGAGACGCAAACTCGAAATATTCAGCAGCAGCAGCAGGCATAGTCAGGCTCAGAATCAAATCCACAAACTCCTGTGTACCAGGCGAGGTGTTTGACATCTCCTAGCGACCCACGCCCAGAGACCCACACACACAGAGACCCACACACACAGAGACCCACACACACAGAGACCCACACACACAGAGACCCACACACACAGAGACCCACATACACAGAGACCCACACACACAGAGACCCACACACACAGAGACCCACACACACAGAGACCCACACACACACAGACCCACACACACAGAGGCCCACAGAGACCCACACACACAGAGACACACACACAGAGACCCACACACAAAGACCCACACACAGAGACCCACACACAGAGACCCACACACACAGAGACCCACACACACAGAGACCCACACACACAGAGACCCACACACACAGAGACCCACACACACACAGAGACCCACACACACAGAGACCCACACACACAGAGACCCACACACACAGACACCCACACACACAGAGACCCACACACACAGAGGCCCACACACACAGACCCACAGAGACCCACACACAGAGACCCACACGCACAGAGACACACGCACAGAGACCCACGCACAGAGACCCACAGAGACCCACGCATAGATACCCACGCACACAGAGACCCACGCACACAGAGACCCACACACACAGAGACCCACACACACAGAGACCCACACACACAGAGACACACACACACACACCCACACACACACAGACCCACGCACAGAGACCCACGCACAGAGACCCACGCACAGAGACCCACGCACAGAGACCCACGCACAGAGACCCACGCACAGAGACCCACGCACACAGAGACCCACGCACACAGAGACCCACACACACAGAGACCCACACACACAGAGACCCACACACACAGAGACCCACACACACAGAGACCCAAACACACAGAGACCCACACACACACAGACACACACACACAGAGACCACGCACAGAGACCACGCACAGAGACCACGCACAGAGACCACGCACAGAGACCACGCACAGAGACCACGCACAGAGACCACGCACAGAGACCCACACACACAGAGACACACACACACACAGAGACACACAGAGACACACAGAGACCCACAGAGACCACGCTAACCCACACACACAGACCCACACACACACACAGAGACCCACACACACACAGAGACCCACACACACACAGAGACCCACACACACACAGAGACACACACACACAGAGACACACAGAGACCCACACACACACAGAGACACACACACAGAGACCACGCTAACCCACACACACAGAGACACACACAGAGACACACACACACACAGACCCACACACACAGAGACACACACACACACACACAGAGACTCACAGAGACCACGCTAACACATACACACAGACACATACACACACACAGAGACCCACAGAGACCACGCTAACCCACACACACACAGAGACACACACACACATACCCACTGAGACACACACACACAGACACACAGACCCACACACACACAGAGACCACGCTGACCCACACACAGACCCACACACACACAGAGACCCACAGACACACACACACAGAGACCACGCTAACACACACACAGACACACACACACAGAGACCACGCTAACCCACACAAAGACAAAGATCCCCCATATAGCCTGTAACAGACTGTAGGGGCAAGTGCTGTTAGCGAGCACCTATGAAGGCCAAAACGGTACACGAGGGGGTGGGTGGCCAGCACCACGCCCGACCGCCTTTGTCTCCCTAGTGGCGATGTTTACACACCGCACCAGGTACTCATTTGAGGCTGAGTCGACCTAGGGGAGGCCCGGGACCGGTTCACATAATCGTCACTGGTGTTGGCCGTGAGCGGGAATCGAACCCAGGTCGCCAGGTTCATAGCGCAGCGCGCTAACCGCTACACTATCGCTCCCCACCCAAGACAAAGATCCCCCATATAGCCTTAACAGACTGTAGGGGCAAGTGCTGTTAGCGAGCACCTATGAAGGCCGGAACGGTACACGAGGGGGTGGGTGGCCAGCACCACGCCCGACCGCCTTTGTCTCCCTAGTGACAATGTTTACACACCGCACCAGGTACTCATTTGAGGCTGAGTCGACCTAGGGGAGGCCTGGGACCGGTTCAGATAATCGTCACTGGTGTTGGCCGTGAGCGGGAATCGAACCCGGGTCGCCAGGTTCATAGCGCAGCGCGCTAACCGCTACACTATCGCTCCCCACCAACCCACACACACACAGACACACACACACAGAGACACACACACACACAGAGACCACGCTAACACACACACACAGACACACAGACCCACACACAGAGACAGAGAGACCACGCTAACACACAGACACACACACACACAGAGACCCACACACACACACAGACACACACAGACACTGAGAGACCACGCTAGCACACACACACAGAGACCCACACACACACAGACACACAGAGACCACGCTAACACACACACACACAGACACACACACAGAGACCCACACAGACACACACACAGAGACCCACACACACACACAGACACACACACAGACACTGAGAGACCACGCTAACACACACACACAGAGACCACGCTAACACACACACACAGACACTGAGAGACCACGCTAACCCACGCACAGAGACCCACACACAGAGATACACACAGAGATACAGAGACCCACACACACAGAGACACACAGAGAGCCACACACACAGAGACCCACACACACAGAGTCCCACACACACAGAGTCCCACACACACAGAGTCCCACACACACAGAGTCCCACACACACAGAGTCCCACACACACAGAGTCCCACACACACAGAGTCCCACACACACAGAGTCCCACACACACAGAGTCCCACACACACAGAGTCCCACACACACAGAGTCCCACACACAC